TTTTTATAATATATATTTTTCTAAGTCATTCTCATCGTCACGGTGCTGTGCTGTTTAATAGCTAAATTTGTATTATAATAGTATTTCCAATGCCGCTATACATGTGACGGTAAAGTATCATGTAATATGCAAATTTGAACAGAACGAACTACCTTATATATATTTTAACGAAATACAAGTTAATTTACTTATCAGTATTTGACGATGTAAATCATGCTCCATATGCTGATATACCAATTGTTGTTTCTAATGAATAACTGTTATTGCGTATACAAATGTAATAATGATAACGACTGTTCATGTGAACAAATATCTGTCTTATCAAAAACCGAAAACCTGGTGTAACAAACACATATTTGCCGAATATTAGTAAATAATCCAAGGTCAGGGTTAGTGGTAAGTATACACTCGAAATCTTTAAAACTGAAGTGAAAGCCAGACACATCATAATGTATTTTTTTTTAATTTTCACTTGATATTTATTTTTGTTATTTTTGCTGAAGGGAAGATTTTATATTTAACATTAACTTAAACAAAAGCAAATGAAAATTAATTCCGTGCCAAACATTCAAAAATCTTTTGCAGTATTCATGTTATGACAGATACAACGGTTGCGATATATTTTTTAGACGAAAAAAAAAAGATTTTAATTCATCTGTTATCTTGTTCAGAAGTGTGAGCCCTGACTGGCTTGCTATTTAGAATGTACGTACCTTGGCTGGTCATCAATTTTGTATTTTTAGTGTATTTTTTATTATATTTTTGTCCAAATCATAATATTTGAGAAATTTCTCATCCATGAAGTTACTCGATGTAACCCTCTCTGTGATTTTGTCAGACAGAGGAGTTATCTTTAATTTTGTATTTTAATGATTTTTTTAGATGCCATTTTGTTGATTTTTTTGGCAGAAATGCTATTTTAAAGATTTCTTTTTGTTATTTCAGGTGTGGAGGGTTCTTACTGGTTGAAGATGGTAATTTGTTCAAGAGGTGTAGATTGACTAATAAAACTTCAAATTGGGCCTGAAATGCCAAAACATCTCAATTATTGGAATTTTATGTCAGATTGATTTCATATTTAGCATGCAGGTACATGGCTAATACTGTGTCTTGTAGATGTTGTGGTTTTATCTTCACTTTTTTGCTGTTAGTGATTCTGCTTTAACGCGACCCCGGGGTGTCACTCTATATGCTGTTACTATCCCATGTGCGTTCCAAATTTAGCGGGAAAGCGGGGTGTTTTTCACCTTCTAAAGCGGGCCCGCCAGGGAAGCAAATATGCCCCCTTTAAAATGCTAATGTCTGCAATAGGCCCCAGAAATAAACTCGCAGGGTTGCTGCGCCCGCTGTAGGCCCCCTCTTGCAACAACCACTCCCATACACCGAATTGGCGGACCCATAGCCCCAACCAGGCCGCAAACGTCCCGTCGGGATTTTCCCGCCACTTAATACGAGCATAAGAAGGCTTATTGTAATCGAAGAAACGAAACGAAACGGGATAAAACACATAATGAAAATTAAACTGTATTCAGTGAAAATGGGTTTTATGCGCACAATATTTACACAATTTTGCTGAATATAATACATTTAAGCAATAAACCACCACCGGAGATGAAACTTGATCAGTACTTTTTATTTATTTGTAATTAGGAGCTGCAATAAAATTATTGGAAAAAGCACATACTATATAAATGAAAAAAAGAAACTTTTGCACTTAAAGTAAATGCAGGAAATACACAATGTAAATCTAATTTACATAATCTCTTCTATAATCCATGACATCAATGAGAAATATGTTCATAAATCTATCAATATATTCACTTTTCAGTGGTGTATTTAACATCCTAAAACATTTGCTGAAAACAACAGGATTTTAATTAGTAAACGGTTCGTTTCGCTAATTACACAAATCGGAAATCTGCAATCACGCGGTGAGACAAGTGTCTTACAAGTACAATAATCACAAATATCGAACGATACTTGAACAGTAATTTCACCTTTCAGTAATGTATAAAACAATTATCTATAATTAGCGAAACGAACCATTCACTAATTAAAATCCCGTTATTTTCGGCAAATGTTTTTATCTAGTTGTATCCACTACAGAGAGGTAAATATACTGTTCAAGTTTCGTCCGACAGTTGTGAATATTGTACGTGTCAGACCCTTATTTCGCTGATTACAGATTTTCGATTACCTGTAATTAGCGAAACGAGCCATATACGTATTAAATATTATTTTCGGCAAATATTTTGTAAATATTGTGCGTATAAAACCCATTTTCACTGATTACAGTTTAATTTTCATTGTGTGTTATCCTGTTTCGTTTCGTCGATTACAATAAACCGCATACAGAAAGTCATCCCCGAGTCATCCACACTTACAAAACTCCTTTCGCGCCTCTGTCCATTTGCATTCAACTCCTGCTTTTTTCTGGGTTTTCTGCCCTGTATTCATGCCAAAGTCACTAAGTGCTGAACATAAAATTGCGTAATAGTATCTGATGGAATAAGAATCCTGGCAAAGTCGTGTGCATTGCGTATTAAACTATCAAATAAATGATCATATTAACAATCATGTCAATAGTTCTCATCTTTCTTCATCAAACCACAGTCACTCTCCTAGTAGAGTGACCTTGATCAAACTACGAATGACACCAACAGGAGTTGCATACACAGTAACTTGTTTGAGTTGATCACACTCCACTTGAGTGCAAAAAACGGCAGAGAATCCTCGCAATGGGGGGTAGGATGTTTTCAATATGTCTGAAATAGGTGTTTTTTCTTCAATATGTCTGCTTTAGGGGGTACTAAATATTTATTGCGTCCGCAATAGGGGGTATGGTTTGTCAATGTGCTGCCAGCCCTAAGGCCTATTTTTTTTTAGAAAGAACGCACATAGTGTAAGGTTTTAATATTGAGTGACACCCCGGGAACGCCACACAGTCGTCATCCAGCTTACATTGGAATTTCGTGTATGTCAATTTGAAGTGCGTGTTGCTAGCGGTAACGAAAATTAGCTTAGACGCTTCAGATGTAAAACTATCGATCCTAATAAAACGAACCATGCACGGCACGGTCCTCGTTAGTTATCAAAGTTATATAGTTTTGTTTATAGTAATATAGTACAAGTTCTTGTTGATATTGCAAAATATTGCTCCGGAACAGCATTAATAGTAAAAATAAAATGGCTACCGCTCGGCCATTTTGAATCGGGTATTGCGTCACATATTAATGTATTCATTTATTTTTCAGGAAAAGTAATGGCCTGAAATGGGGCGACATTGAATG